ATCTAATTTATAAATGATCTACTCCACCAAATAAAAACATGTTTTAATTATAAACTAAGGCTTCATGTCTATATCTAGCTTTTGGTTTTTGTCCACTACATCTTCTAATTTCATAAAAAGTATTTGTAACAAAAGAATATTCATACATTTCATCTAAACAACTAGTACCATCCCAACCTCCAAAAATAAACATAGAATTTTAATATGAAACAGCTGTATGACCAAATCTACCTGTTATTTATTAATCATGATCTAATTCAACCCATTATCCCTTAAATTTCCAAATATCATTAAAAATTTATTTATTTTCACCTTTTCCTCCAAATATATATATTCCATTGCAATATTCAACTAAAGAATGATCAGTTCTTTTTGCTGGATTAGTACCTTATTAAGTTTCCTTAGCAAATGTATTGCTCTTAACATTAAATCTATATAAATCATTACAATAAATTTAACTTTATGTTTAAACATAGCCTCCAAATAACATTAATTAATCATCAACTGCAACCATTTTTGCTCCTGATCTGGCTGATGGTATTTAACCTTAAGTAACAATAATAGACCAAGAATTTCCATCAAAACAATTTAAATCATTATTAATATCACCAGATTGATCTACACCTCCAAATAAATAAATTTTATTTTAAAGTACACAAGCAGTATGTCCAGTTCTAGGTGTAAAACGATCTTTAAGATCCAATTATATCCACATTAAATGTGGAGCTTATCTAAATTATTCAATTTATTATCTGCCATTTTCTGAATCTAAATTGATTCTATGAACATCATTTCTCCTTTATCCATCAAATCCACCAACCAAATATAAATAATTTCCTAATACAACACATTTATGAAAAGAACGAGGAGATGGTGGATTCTAAACAACTATTCTACTCCATATTGAAGTTTGAAAATCAAATCTTTATAAATCATTAAAACGTTCTTGATTTTAATCCACTCCTCCAAAAATGAATAGAAATCCTTTATAAATATTTGCTGTATGTCTATATCTTCCAGCAGGTGGATTTTATTATTTAACCATTTAGAAAGTACCATTACTATTAGAATAAACCCATAAATCATTTAATGTATTATTACCATCCCATCCTCCAAATAAATAAAGTTCATTTTAATAGGATGTTATTGTATGTCCAAGACGTGCACTTAATTATCTTACTTAACTTAATGCTTTCCATTCAAAAGTACTTAGATTTAATTCATGTAAATCATTAAATCGTTTTTATCCATTTGATCCTCCAAATATATAACATAGATTTTTTTAAATAGTGAACGAATGATCTACTCTAGCTGGAGGTGGTTAAGTTTTTGGAGTTATTTTATCCCATTAATTGTTAGCAGGATTAAAACGAAAAAGATCATTAAAATATTCTCCATGTTTCCAAGTATAACCTCCAAAAAAATAAAACAAATCTTCATAAACACATCCCAATGATCCAGATCTTGCTGATGGTATTTCACCTTATAATTTAAGTTTACTCCATCCTTTATGATATTTATACATATCATTCTATCTGTCTTATTCATCAATCCCACCAAACACATAAATACACTCCTTATATGCTATTACTGTATGTCCAGTCCTTGGAGAATAATCATTTACATCACTGGGCAATAATTCCCATTGCATTATTTAAATTAATAATTATGTATTATTAGACACCTACTCCTATGATGCCCTTAGCTCATGCTATGAATAACCCTCTTTAAGTATAATAAGCTGCTAATATTCGCAAACCTGATTTCCCCCCAGATGTAATAATATGTGTTTTTATTCTTAGATGCAACCAATCTTTGTCATACCTTAAATTGCTCATATCAAATCTTAATTAAAACCAAAATGTAGACCATATGATCCTATTTTGGGTATTGGAAGAAAAGCAGAATGGATGTTGGATAAATTTGAAGATGAATATGAGTAGATGCAAAGAGAAGAAAGAGAAAAAGGTATATATATATATAATTATAATTCTGTAGATATTGTTAAACCATCAAGATTACCATTAAAGATTTTGAAAAAATATGAGAAGAGAAGATAACATAGTGAAGAAGTTAAGAAAAGATTGTAAACATGGAATCCATTTGAAGATCCAAATATTACATCTGATCCTTATAAAACATTATTTGTTGGACGATTAAATTTTGCAACAACTGATAAAAAATTACGCAAAGAATTTGAAGAATATGGCCCTATTAAATCTGTAAGAATAGTGCGAAATTCTATTCAAGATAAAGCAAGAGGCTATGCATTCATTGGTAAGGGGGTGATCATAAATTAAAAGAGTATGAGAGCAAGAACAGTGTTAAATCAGCTTATAAATATGCAGTTGATAAGCGTATTGATGGTCGTAAAGTGATTGTAGATATAGAAAGAGGTAGAACAATACTTAAATGGAGACCTCGTTATCTTGGTGGGGGATTGGGAGAATTGAGAAGATCAAGAAGTGAAGAATTATAAAAGAAGACTAAAGATGATTAAGTAGAAAAGGAAGAAGAAGATAAAAGACGTAAAACTAAAAAAGGTAATTAATATTAGATATATATATATAGAAGATGGGAAATCATATAAAAAACCTAGATCTCGATCTAAGAGTGCCAAAAAACATAAGAAGAGAGATGAGAGTGAATTTAAGAAGAATAAAAAGAGAGAAAAATCAAAAAAGAGACATAAATGAGTGATGATGATGATGAATAACAAAAAAAAAGGTAAATTTATTTATGGTAAGTATTCTCTTTTAAAACATCTTTCTTCTCATTCATATGAATAGTTTATATAAAATATATTTACGATACCAAGCTCTCAAGCGTGCCTTCAAATCTACTAAACTATATCTTAAATATGCCAAACTTAAAGAAGATTTAGAAGACTAAAAGCTTAATAGAATCTGTGTTGGAGAAGATCGTATGGGTAATAAATTTTATCAATATTATTCATATTATGGATTACCCACTAGAAGAGAAGTAAATATACATAAAATTAACATTCTTAGATTAGGTTTAAGGATGATAAAGAAAGAATAGTTAATGATTTAGCATATTATGATTGGCTATATAAACGAATTGAATAACCACCTACAGAAGAATAAGTTGAATAATTGTAAGATCTATTATTTCATATATAGCTATAAAGAAGAGTAATTGCGTTTTTAAAGAGCAAGAGAATGGGATGAATAATAAGAAAAAATGATGTTAGCATTTTATGAATAAAGAAAAATAAGAGAAGAATAATACAAGAAAGCTTATTTGGAATAGAAAAACTTTAATTAAAACCCTGAAGTATTTACAGAAATAGCTAATAATTCTGAATTGAAATAAGAGTCTCAAAATGAGTAATGGTAACCAAAATCAAAGCGTTGATTTCATAATATTAATTACATATATTTAGTTAAGAATTGTCAATCTATAGTTTATATAATCAATATTAACTTTTTTATATCAAACCTATTTAAGATTTTTAAATCAAATAAAATTTAAAGGAATATGATGTAGGTATTAAAATCACTAATTAAATATTCTACTAAATAAAGAATATAAGAAAATAATTACATATCTTTCTTTTATTACGATTTTCTTATTCAATAATATTTAATTAAATATATGTGTGATCAAATTTTATATTACGCATCATTTCACGATATATATATTCTGAAATTTTTTTACAATTTTAATTATGATTTCAAGAATTAATAAATAGCTTTGGAAAACCTTTTGTTCAACTAAGCCTCCAGGTGAAGGTAAAAAGAACTAAATGTATGCAATGCCTCATCCTTTCTGGAACGAAGAGGCCAGAAATAATGTAAAGATTGATCACAAAGAGCCTTAAACTTTTGGTGATAGATTTGCTCATTTGTTCATTCAATCAATGAGAGTTGGATTTGATGTTTTAAGTGGATATAGGAAAGTATTTCCATGGTAGAACAACATAATATCTGAAAAAAAATGGATAAATAGGGTTCTATTTTTAGAGACTGTAGCAGGAGTACCTGGATTTGTCGCAGGAATGCATAGACATTTGAGATCCTTAAGAGGTATGAAGAGAGATTTGGGTTGGATTCATACATTATTAGAAGAGGCAGAAAATGAGAGAGTACATTTGTTGACTTTTCTTACAATTAAAAAACCATCATTAATATTTAGAACAGGAGTTATATTGGCCTAATTATGGTATGTTGCATTGTTCTCAATTGCTTATATGATTCAACCAAGAGTATGTCATAGGATAGTTGGATACTTAGAAGAGGAGGCAGTGAAAACATATACTCATATGATAGAAGAAATAGAAATTGAAGGTAGTTCAATTCATTCTTGGAAAACGAGAGCAGCACATCAAAATTCAATAGAATATTGGAATTTACCAGAAAATGCAACTTTATTGGATGTTGTTAAGGCTATAAGAAAAGATGAAGAACATCATAAAGAAGTAAATCATAAGTTTGCTGATGATTATACTTAATAATCAGAGAATCCATTTCCTCCAGGATATTGATTTTTTATTATTATCTAAATTATTATTGATGTTTATAATATATTATAATGATCAAAATAATTGTACTGGGGATTTGATGGCATTTTTAAAATCATAATAGATAGTAACAATAGGAGCTGTGTCTTGGGAATTTGATCCTTTAATTGATAGAGCATCTCCTATTTTTTTATTGAATATATATTGTAATCTAATTGTGATTTAATAATATTACTAATTTTGCTTTTCAGCATCCAAATATAATCTAATATCTGTAATACCTCCATGTCTATCTTACAATTCTTTATTAATGAACATGAGTGGATCATTGTAGGCTACAACAATTTCAAAATTTGGATAAGGCCAATCTTTTTCTAGGATTACAAATTTAAGTTTGATGTATTAATGTTATTCACTGTCCATTTCGAATGATGGCTAAAAAAGGGATTTTGTTATTTATGTATATGTACATAGATATTATTGGCGTTCATTTTAATTTTTAATAATGAAATATACTATCATAATTCTTCAAAACCATCTTCAATTTATCTATTATGCTATATTGTTTATGATTATTTAGGTTCTGGTTGATCTTATTAACCTTCTGTTTATTTTTTAATCCATTCTCTTGTTTTAACAAAACGTTCAGGAGTCTTAGGTTCAAAATTTAATTATCTAAATGCTTTTTCTCTTCTTAGACGACCTCCAAATTTAAAAAATTATTGAGACCAATGTTTAATTGCATATTAGAGATCCACAACAGTTTTTGGTTCTTTCCACCAAGTAACTACTTTAGTAGCACTGTTCTCTTAAACATAACTAAGAAATTCATAATAATCCACAAGCATTTAGAGTAACTCATCTTAAAAATCAATTTTATGATTAATGAGGTCTTGTATCTATTTATGTATTTACAATTTCAAGAAATTAATCTGCTCTGAAAAGTCTTTCACCATGAAAGAAAGTGAGATAGAGAGTATTGATTATATTACTTAATCACAAGTTTAGAGTGTTGGATTATTGAGTGAAAAGTTACGACTTAAACTAAGTCTATAGTTGGTTTCTTGATTTATAAGAGTTTCAATTTCCACTTGAGGATCTATCATAATCTCATTCTGATTTTACTCAACATGGACGACCTCACTATTTGAACGAGGGCACAAGGCACCCATTTAATTAATTATATAAATGCAACACATTATATATATATCCATCACAGTATATCTGATGGTAAAGGCATCTCAAATATGAAATGACTAGCCATTATGCTAGCAGCTTCAGGTTGATCCATTGGAACCATATGTCCAGCATTTCTTACTGAAACAAAGGTTAAACCATCAATTTCCCATACATTACCAGCATTTTATTGTTCTGATCCTTTTTCTCCTGGTTTATACCAAGGTCTCCATTCCTAAATAGTTGGTAAGTCTAAAATATAACAATTATAATAAACTTAATTCCTTCTACAATTTATCAATCCAATACAAAGTACCAGTGATTGGAACTATTGAATCAACATCTCCACTGAATTTCAAAATTCTAATTCCATTCTTGAGTAATTTAGGATATAAATGATAAGTAGCTCCTGGATCCTTCTTGTAATCAATATTTGAACAATCATTCCAATAACCAGCATCATCTCTAATATGTAAAGCCTAGAATATAAATGAATTTTTAACCTTTCTAAATGCTGCATTATTTAGATAAAGGAATAAGGCTTCTGATTCAGAACATTCATTGATTTATCCAACAACACCTTCCTTCATTGGATGTAATTTGAATCTCTTCTCTTTAACTCTTTCTCCTTTTTCATTATAAAATGGTAATTGATAACATTTTCCATATACATTATATGGATTAAAATAGTAATCACTATGATAATAACTTTAATTTTATTACTCATCTCCATTGATTTATTCCATTACTTCTCCATAGATTTCTATACATTCAGGATATGATTTCATATGACAGTAACTTGTCATATTTTCAATTTTATGATTTAATTTTTCACTAATGAATCCATGATTATGAAGGAATTTATAAAAATGAACAGGGAAATTGAATCCTAAATCTGTACATTCTGTTGGATCTGTACATCCATTACCAATCATTAAACCCTTCAATCTAATTCTATCACCAACTGCTGCTTTGGCATTATAATCAATAATCTCATTTGCTAATGTTGGAATGTATATTCCAGCCCAACTCTCTCCAGCAATATAAAAATCTATGCTTTTATATTCTGGGAATTTCTTAAAGAATTCAAGCACTGCCTTTAAATTATCTTTTGCTGTGCTCTTATCATCTGTTGTTGTATTTCCAAAAGAAAATCCTACTCCTGCTGGACTCTCCAAGTAAAACATGTTAGCCTATCAAAATATATATTCATTATTACAAAATTCAACCAAGTGAATAGATTTTATTTGAAATTATTTGTACCCAATTCTACTGTGAATGGCCCATTTTCCACCATGGCTCCATAAAGAGAAGAGCATCCAGGACCTCCATTTAACCACAATACAAGTGGAAATGTAGCCTATAATGGTCCAGCTAAGCTAAAAGCTGGAAAAGCAAAATAATGAAATTGCTTTTTACCAGCGTCATCGATTGGCAAATACCCAGAATACCTTAGAATTGTGACATAATCCTTACATTTTTCCTGCATATGGAATTTTGAACTTAGCCCATGTAGATCCATCTACTAAGTCTTCTGCTGGGGCTCCTGCTACATATCCAATAAAATAGAGTAGTGACAAAATCATTATTATGATAAATTATATTAAGTCATCATATTGATATTTATTAATATCTTTATAATTAACTTAAACAAAATAGATATGTAAAATAATTAAATTGTTAGTTATTTCAACATTAATGTCTATCTAAAGTGACATTCCATTAACACCAACTCAAACAAAAACTACTCTTCCAGTTCCTCGTACTGCCAGATCTCTCGTAAAAAGGGAAAAGTAATATAAATTAGATGTCCTTTTGAAAAACTAAAAAGGAAAGTAAACAATTAAGAAGAGAATCAAACGTAAAAGACTATTCTCTGGATTAAAACGTACAGTTAGTAACTATAGGGGTCGAATTCCATAGTCTGAAACTTTTACTCTTAATGAAGATCGCTTAATACTCTCTTCTGTAATAAAATTAGGACCTAAATTCAAAGTGATTTCCTAATATTTTCCATCAAAATCATTAAGTGCAGTCAAAAATCGTTACTATAAGTATTTGAGATATCGTTGGATTCAAATAATGGGCAAGTATTTATTTTTGCTAATAAATAAGGGATTTTGAAAGTTTATTAAAAGAAAGCCAATAAATTATAAGACAAGATGATGAAATTGTAGACACTGCAGAGCTATTCCCAGAAGTAAAAGATATATTAAAAAATATGATAACAAATATCAAATCTTTAATTTAATCATGAATCTTATTAATTCTAATTATAACATAATGATTCTCATTTTTTTTTATAAACTTTACAAAAATGGATATATGTTAATAAATTGATGTAGCGTAAATAATAAAGAAGTTTAAAAACTTGGACTAACTGAAAATGCAACTACAATTATTAATAAAGTACTATTATAATATTAATATGATTTTATTTAGTATCTATATATATCAATTAGAAACATATTCTTTTTTCTTGATTAATTTTAATTTTTCTAAATTTTCTTTTTCTAAATCATCATTGTACTTTTAAAAGATTATCATTTAATTTTATTTTTTTTTAGTTATTTAATATTAATTGAATTCTTTATTTAGGATTTTAAATCATTTACTAAATATATAATATGCTTCATAGAAATAAATATTCATGAATTATTTTATATCTATAGACTTTGAAAGGGTATTCATAAAAAATTGTTAAGATTGATTTTAATAATAATTTATTATATGATTTTCGTTTTAAACTATATAAATTAATATATTTGATGTAATATACATATAATATATGAAGTTTTTCCGAAATTGTTTTTGTAATTATCAAAATTTTATATATTATACTATGATTAATTGTTATTACCTGTTTCTAAGTAACAAATCATAATCTTAGTGTTTATTCTAATTGAATTAATTGTAAATATTAAGTTAACAATTAAAAATTAGATTATTAAACTTTTATATTTGGATTTCTACGTATAATACATTTTAATGATCACTAAAAGAATCAAGATGTATATGTGAACATTACTCCAAAAATAAATGTCTTATAACATTTCTTCTGAAGTATATATATCTACTCATAATTATTTAATATAATTCATCTAAATGTTTTTTAGCCCCTATTCTCAAAGTGAGATTAGATCAAAGAGTTTCGTTCATTTATTTTTTGGTCTTAGCTTGGCTCTAGTGGCAATTAATATAGTCCAACCCAATCTTAACGCTTATTTGGATCAGGTTAAATGCATTATGTTATGAATGTCATCAAATTCTTAGAGTAGAATTAATCTAACCATTTTAAAGGATTTTCGAAAGCTTAAAACAAAGTGAGACATTACAAAAGTACAATTCTTTATAATTTATTATGATTACCCAAAAGCAAATACATCTACTTTGAATGGGTTAATTTATGCTGTTTCTAATAAACTAGCTTCTGAATTAATAAATGGTTTGGTTTCTGGAGCCAAAAATACTTAAATTTCAGGATCTTTCGTTTACTAATATTTAATGAAATTGCCCCATCTACCACCAATTAATTCTTAATCATATACTCTATATAGAAGATACTCCTCATCAAAATAGATTGTCTTTGTAGTAATCATTCCATGAGGAATATTATTATTTTAAAAGAAATGCATAGCTTACATTACTCCTTTAATAAGACACCAAACTTCTGGTTCAGGTATCAAATATCGTTTTGCTTATCTTCTTTCTGTTAATTCATGTAAAGTTAATTGACCATATTCAAAAAAAACAAAAATCTAAAATACTTCTGTCTATCCAAATTAGCCTGGTTTCACTGTTTTTTGGCTTTCACTTTCAATGCAATAGAAAATATGTGGTTGTTTGATCTTACAACGTTCTTTATATTGCTTAAGTAACTGTTATTATTGGTTAACATCCATCTATTAAACTGGAACAGAACACACCAATTTTGAAACCATATATCTGTTAGGAACGTACATTTGTACTTTGCAAAGGGATGGAATCTAAATAATCGTAATTGTCCACGCTATGGGCAGTAGATGTTGTCTACAAATTTCAATTCCTCAAAATTGTTTAGTACAAGTGTCTTTGGATCACCTCTCTTCGCCATTCAATTATTAATGTTATAATTATATATTAAATTACATACAATAATAATTATTATATATATATATATAATTGAATCATAATCAAATAGGATCTTCAAGAAGTTGGTTCTCTTCTGATTCTTAAACTGCAATACTTTAAGTTATTTTGAGCATGTCATTACCTATTTCATAACTTCTTATTAATAGGACAATGAATGCAAAAATAGTAGAAATTAATGGATTTACACTAGCTAAACCATAAGCATTTAATCTTCTATCTCCTCTTAGAGTTTCATTAATTTTTCTTACTTTTTTCTCTGTTAAATCATTAACTGTTGCATTTTACAACTTATTTTAAATATCAAAATCTGTAGCTAATTAATCTCTATTATCAACATCAAATATAAGCATAATTAATCCTAATACTTTCTCTACTAATTTATTTTAATCATATTTTGCAATAAATTTAAATTGTAAATACTCTTTTTCTGTTAATGACTCTAAAATCTTTTCTAACTAATAAGCTATATTTTTTAATCTCATATCTATAATCAATAATTAAATTAATTTACTTAAATCTTTTAATTTTTTCTATTCTGAAATTGGAGGTAATTAACTTTATTATTATTATTATTATTATTATTATTATTAAGATTTCTTAGGTGGTTTAAATCCTGGATTTTCTGCATAAAAGTGACCTGGTCTATTTTGTAATCTATCTTCAGGTTTTGCAAATTTTGCTTATTAATGAAATTATGGAATTTCTAATTAAGTTTTAGGCAATTTAGCTTAAACTTTAATAATCTTACCTTATGCTAAACTTTATTAATGCAATGCCTCCTATTATTTCTATTCTTCTTCTTCTTGTTAAATTACTTTAGTATATAAATTATTCAATAAGTCTTTTGATCTTTCAACAATAATTCTATAGTGAGATGGTTCAAATCTATACAATGGATTATATTATTGAATGGCTGATATAATTAAGACATTTTCAACATCTATTCAAATTATACTAGATTTCATTACTAAATTTTTATAATAAATGCAACAATTTTTCTCCACTTCCTTCTAAAGTTTCATCTTCATGAAAACCTTCTATTATTCTATTTTCTTATTATTCTTATCCTGGTTTATCCTGAGTTACAAAAAACTATTGTTATTCATAAACCCTATATGCATAACTGAATCTATTATATCTCCTAAATTTTTCATTTGTTTTAATATAATCCATAATGATATTGATCTAATCTTAATGTGCAATGGCAGCACAAAATGATCTAAAATTACCATATGAATTTTAGACTTGATTTCCAAAAATAATATTCTTGAATAGATTGTCATTATTATTATTTTCTTTTTAATCCATTATATATAATATATTGAATATAAAAAGTAAGAATAAGTAAATATAATTATTTTTATATTTACTTATTATTAATAAAAATCATAGAATCATTAGACTACATAATTATATTAACATATTTGAATTTTATGTTAATAGTTTATTTATTAGATTATGAATAAATTTAAATATTTATTTAATATTTTCAATGTAATATAATGGTCAATAATATGATTCCTAATTATATAGAATAACTATTAGGAAGATCATTGTCATCCAATTCATCACATACAACACATAATTTTTATTCTTCTGACCATCTATAATTGTGAAGTGTGAATGTGTTGCAATTACTCTAAACTATTTTTGAAACATCATTTCCTTCTACACATTTATTTGTATCACTATTCCAACTACAATAAGTATATTAATTTCCACTCCCACTAATATAAGTAATTAAACAATCAAATTATGTAAAGTCAGAACATTTCTTTTCTCTACAATTTCCATTCTCAAAATAACAACCAAATTCCAAACATTAATCTTCAAAATCTGCTAAACCTCCACAACTTGGAATATTTGGTAAAGAATTACAAGTAGAACCCTTACTCCATTAACAATGAGAATCCATTGAATCATAACTTTCATTACATTCATCTTTTGTTGTCTTAGATGAACATTGCTCTACTTATAAGGATGTACATTTTTCATTAATAACTTTACAAAGTCCTAATGGACATTATTTATCTGTATATTCTGAACAACTTGTAAATTCTGCACATTCTTAATTCATATTCCAAAAGCATCCAAGCTTAGGTTAGCAAGTTATAGCTTCTGTGTAACTCTCACATATAGCATATATATCAATGCATTCTTTATCATTAGGATCCCATTGACACCATGATTTTTAGTTAATGCAATCAGTTTCTGATAGTAGACTACATGAACAATGTTTGGAAGAATCAAAACTTATACCATTGACTACTATAGCACTTAAAGTAACAGTAAACAAGATCTTAAACAACATTTTAAATTATGTAAAATTAATTTTATGACCCCCATTAAATAATGCAAAAATAAATAAAAGAATTTAAGTCTTAAATAAACAAACAGCATTTTCAAAGTGGATTATTATCAATTTATATAAACTTATATCTTAATCATTATTTTGATTTACCTATTTTTTAATTTATTTTTAAGTACTCAAATAATTTTATTGAAAAAAACTATATGTATATAATAAACTCAATTCTTTCAGTTTTGAGTAAATATGCCATTTTATTTTATTTTTTTAAAGCAAACTTAATCTATTTAGATTAGATCTTAAAATGAATGATAAGAATTAGAATTAACCTTATTAAGAGATTATATTTTTATATAATAAGATTTCCAGAAAAAAGTTTTTATGATATTATTTTGAATAAATATTATTTATCTGTATTATATATCACACGTGCACATGACTTTTCATTCTTCTAAATTTCATTATTTAGTTACTATATTTAATTAGATATTATACTTTGTTTAAAGGTAATACGGGAATCACCAAATTGTCTTCCATTTTATTTCAAAATTAAGTACATAAGATTTTCATTCTATAAAGTAAGTTATCCTGATGGTTTTTAATTAGGTCTTTTTAATTCTATTTCATCAGCTTTACAATTAGTTTGACTAACAATCCAATTAATGAATTCTTGATTTGCTTTTTTAGTATCTAGATTTTCAAAAGCTATTTTATATCCATCATCTTCCTATTCAACTTATTCCTATTAATTATTTTTAGAATAATTAGAATTATTTGAAAATTGTTTTCCATTATTGAATTTAGCTTCTCTCACAAAAATTTATATTTCATTACTTGTATATTTACCATCCTAATATAAACAATAATAATTACTTTCTCCTACAATCTAAATTTTCTGCCTTCCAAAATTAATAATTTCTAAACTTTATCTGCCCCAGTAACAACTACATATCCTTTTGTTGCTTATTTCTATACTTTTTTACATTCTTCAATTTCACCTTATTTCAAATCACATCTATCCAAAATATAATTAATAATTTGAATGGGTACTGTATTTGGTGGTAAATTTTAGATTTCAACAACTATGAAATTAAATTATAAAAATACCAAACTTTTATTTAGTGTTATCTGGAACACTGTCAAGGTATTTTTATTTTTTCTTGATTTCTCTTTCAATAGATTTTCCACCTTTATAACCACCAGGTATTCTGAATCCATTCATATCATAGAAATTATAATCTTAATCAAAATAGCCAGCAGGTTCTCCATCTCTATCATAATAATTTAATTCTTTATCCACCCAACCACCATAATCATCAACAATATAAATATCAGTTGAGCTATCAGATTATGCAATTCTAAATCCTTCTCCTTCAGGACCATCATATTAAATGTACTAATCAAAAAGAGCTTAATTATGAGATGGTTTGCGTGTCATGAATAAAATAAATAAATATTATTATTATAATAATAATACATTACAACAATTCTAAACACAAATCTAATAAATTATAATACTATCTAATTGAATAGATAAATCTTTATAAATATGATTATACAATTATTTTTCATATCTAATAACATTATTTACTGATCATATATATTTTTATAAAATAAATAATATTAATGAAGTCTAAATAAGTGATACCCAAAGGTAAGCATGCTTTCGATTGTAATGGGTAGAACTTCATTGTTGATGACAAATATTAATTTATTAAATAAATTGGACATGGTGCATATGGAGTAGTGTGTTCAGCTTTAAATAAGAAAAGTCAACAATTAGTGGCAATCAAAAAAATAACAGATGCCTTTTCAGATCTAATTGATGCTAAAAGAATAGTACGTGAAATTAAATTATTAAGTATATAGCATATAAATATTATTCATTAGAATTCTTTGATCATGAGAATATCGTTTCATTACTTGATTTACAAAGACCAGAACATCCATAAAATTATAAAGACATATATATAATTACTGATCTTATGGAAACAGATTTACATAGAGTTATTTATTCAAAGCAAGAATTATCAGACGAGCACATTTAATATTTTCTATATTAAGCCTTAAGAGGATTATTATATATTCATTCAGCCAACATTATACATAGAGATCTTAAACCAAGCAATCTATTATTAAATAAGAATTGTGATCTAAAAATCTGTGATTTTGGTTTGGCTCGTGGTTATGAAGATGAAAGTGAATTTAAAACTGAGTATTAATAATGGATTTATTTAGATATGTAGTTACTCGATGGTATCGGGCACCAGAAGTCATCTTGAATGCTTCTGAATATAATAAATCAGTTGATATCTATGCTTTGGGTTGCATTATGGCAGAATTATTAGGTAGATAACCACTTTTTCCTGGAGAAGATTATCTAGATTAAGTATAAAGAATCATCTAAGTTTTGGGTACTCCTACCAATGAAGATGTTCGATTCATTGGAAATAAGAATGCACTTACTTATTTAAAGAGTTTACCAAAGAAACCTAAATAACAATGGAAGAATTTGTATCCTCATGCTCAACCATTGGCCTTAGATTTATTAGATAAGATGGTCACTTTTAATCCAGAAAAGCGTTTGACAGTTTAGGAATGTCTAGCACATCCTTATTTTGAGGGTCTACACAATCCAGAAGAAGAACCTATTTGTGAATGTACATTTGATTGGGGATGGGACAGTTTCAAACCTACCGATGCTATACTAAAATAAATGGTATATGAAGAATCATTGTCATTTCATCCACTTAAGTGATTTATTTTAATTAATATAACATGGATCTGAGTTCCTAACTAAATTAGATGAAATTTATAATATGTCTTGATTTTAGACATAATCTTACATATAATCGACAATTGGGGTTAGGCTACAATATAGTATATAATGTTGTAATCAAATGACAAATTTATGCAAACATTATTAAGTAATTAATAATAAATTCGCTTAATATTGAAAATTAATTCTAAATTATGTAGTCATAATCCCACTCTTCTAATGTTATTAATCTAATTGATTATATGATATTAGAAACAATCTCTGAAAATAAACATGATGAAAATTAATAATCTGCATATTTACTGATGGAAAAAGTAGAATAGAAATTGGAATAATATTTTAATAAAAAGAGCAGTATACTAGAACTTGAAGAATTGTAGAAAATATTGGAATAATTAATAAATATATTTTGATACATCAACAAAAAAACATAAATCTACAATTAGTTATTTTTCTAATAATGAAACATATGATGTTGAATGCAGTTCTGAAATTGAAACTATTTAAACCATCAATGTGTATGAAGAGTCTTACTTAGACACTGAGTTATTAAATGCTGAAACTCATAGACTTAAGCACAAACCCTTGAAAAACAAGTATAATCTTTTGGATTGTTTTTTATATATATATTCACTATATAATTATCTTAATCAAGATAGTTATTAAGTTAAAGTAGAAACAACATTAGATTAATAAAATCATTAAAAAATAAGTATTGTTGATGATAACATTATTATTTCAATACTTTAAAAAATAATAAAAATCAATCCTATCAATTACCTTTTTTTATTAGATGGAAATAGATAACTTATTTAATTAAGATTATTATTACAATAATATAGATAAATGAGACAAATTTTAATAAATCATTAAATAATTGTTACACAAATTGTAAATAATTTCATATTAATCTAAATCCAATTTAATATCTGTTTGATAAAATTTAAGTAAGTTCCTTTGAAGTGCATACCTTTTTTATTGTACTAGCTTTTAATTAATCATAAATTTCCAATATACAAGGTCTAATAATAATAAAAAATAATTACTCAATTATAATTTGCAAATCTTTATTATTAATTTCAATATCTTTGGTCCATACATTAAATAAACCATTGTTAATTTATTCTTCTGTAATCTCTAAAGGTTATTCAGTTATAATAGGTATATTTAATTAAATTTTGGTTCCCTTTTTAAAATCTTTATAATTAAAGGCTTCTGGAGGTAAGTCAAAGATGGGTACAACATATTCATCAAGAATCTATTACATGTTTTTACTATTCAACAAGACAAATATTGAATCTAATTCTTTGAGAGTTGGGGAATAAATTTTAATTATTTGTTATGATTTTTTCTCCCTTATTAAGATTTATATAGGTAAAAAATCAGTTGTATAATAATTATTATCCAAATTTGTAACTTATTTTATCCATCTTTGTGTTAAAATCTTTTCAGGAAATTCATGTTTTTCTAATTTAATATAATAATTTACAATCAATAATCAGANTATTAGAAACAATCTCTGAAAATAAACATGATGAAAATTAATAATCTGCATATTTACTGATGGAAAAAGTAGAATAGAAATTGGAATAATATTTTAATAAAAAGAGCAGTATACTAGAACTTGAAGAATTGTAGAAAATATTGGAATAATTAATAAATATATTTTGATACATCAACAAAAAAACATAAATCTACAATTAGTTATTTTTCTAATAATGAAACATATGATGTTGAATGCAGTTCTGAAATTGAAACTATTTAAACCATCAATGTGTATGAAGAGTCTTACTTAGACACTGAGTTATTAAATGCTGAAACTCATAGACTTAAGCACAAACCCTTGAAAAACAAGTATAATCTTTTGGATTGTTTTTTATATATATATTCACTATATAATTATCTTAATCAAGATAGTTATTAAGTTAAAGTAGAAACAACATTAGATTAATAAAATCATTAAAAAATAAGTATTGTTGATGATAACATTATTATTTCAATACTTTAAAAAATAATAAAAATCAATCCTATCAATTACCTTTTTTTATTAGATGGAAATAGATAACTTATTTAATTAAGATTATTATTACAATAATATAGATAAATGAGACAAATTTTAATAAATCATTAAATAATTGTTACACAAATTGTAAATAATTTCATATTAATCTAAATCCAATTTAATATCTGTTTGATAAAATTTAAGTAAGTTCCTTTGAAGTGCATACCTTTTTTATTGTACTAGCTTTTAATTAATCATAAATTTCCAATATACAAGGTCTAATAATAATAAAAAATAATTACTCAATTATAATTTGCAAATCTTTATTATTAATTTCAATATCTTTGGTCCATACATTAAATAAACCATTGTTAATTTATTCTTCTGTAATCTCTAAAGGTTATTCAGTTATAATAGGTATATTTAATTAAATTTTGGTTCCCTTTTTAAAATCTTTATAATTAAAGGCTTCTGGAGGTAAGTCAAAGATGGGTACAACATATTCATCAAGAATCTATTACATGTTTTTACTATTCAACAAGACAAATATTGAATCTAATTCTTTGAGAGTTGGGGAATAAATTTTAATTATTTGTTATGATTTTTTCTCCCTTATTAAGATTTATATAGGTAAAAAATCAGTTGTATAATAATTATTATCCAAATTTGTAACTTATTTTATCCATCTTTGTGTTAAAATCTTTTCAGGAAATTCATGTTTTTCTAATTTAATATAATAATTTACAATCAATAATCAGAATTGTTAATTCTTTATTAACAGGCAACCCAGTTTAAATTTTATTTTATATTGCATTATCTTAACCAGTTTAAATGTCTGATTATGAAATTTGTTATTGAGGTTATGGCTCAATTAAATCTTATAATATTAATCCATCTTCTTATTTAGTTTGAATATACAATTATAATTTTTCATTATCAAATTATTCTACAAATGAATGCATTTCAAAGAAATTATTTTTAACAATATCATAAAGTTTTTAGGGAGACAAATCAATTGTCTATATATGTTAGTATTCTTATTAATATAATTGAATAATTGGATAATAAATTCTAAAGAATCCTTAACCTGATTAATTCTTGATCACAATCACTCTTTGGAATTCTTCTGTCTCAAATTACTTAACTTTATACTTTAATCTATTTAAACCCTTTTATTTTAATGCTACAGTATTTCTCTCCAGTAATTATAAGTTTTTTTGAAAGAAATCTAATGGATCTGAATGAGTATTTAATATAGCTAAAGCCATTTAAAATGTTAATTATAGAGGTTTTGTTGATTTCTTATTTACTTCATCTTCAAATTCTCTTATCCACTCTATTTCGAAAGATTTTATTAAAGCAAGTATGGGCATCTTTTGATATTTGTAAATTTTCTTAAAATATGTCCTCTCCTCTTTTGGAATAGATTCTGTGTCTTCTGTATCAGTTAGTTCTGTAACAACATTTCTATTTAAAGGTTCTAATCGTGCACTAGAATGACCAAATTTTTGAGAATAATGAAATTTAGACAAACCTTAAAAGCCTCTATCACAAGCAGCTCCAAAATGTCTTGAATTAAAATCGAGACTATTAACAAGTCCTTTGATATATAGTCTATTTACTTTGAACAACTAATTGCTTTATGTTTGGACTTTATTATTAGATGGAACTTCGTTGAATAAGAGGTAACATTTTGCTTTCATTAAGACTAAATTTGCTTCGAGTATTCCTTAGATAGGCTGGTTCAAGCAATTTGTGTTATGAAGTCATAATCTTAGGAAGAAAATCGAATTTTGTATGACTATTGTTGTTCATTAATATAATAATCAAGGAATAATGCCATTTGTCAATTTTTAAAAATCGTCATAGTATTTTGTATATTTATTGTTGGCACTTTGGGTAACTAGTTTATGTACATGTTCCTCAAGTTGTTATTCATTAAGTTCTAATTTGAATCTATCTTTGAAGACTTTCATATCAAATTTTTCTAAACATGGTAATTCATTATCAATTTTCATGGCTTCTAAGATAAATGCAAATTTGTCAACATTCTTTCTTAATTCTAAATAACCTAATAAGAGTTTGCTTTTAAATAATTAAAACATGCAACTTTCTTATCCATCAAGTAATTCAATATATTCTTTAGTTAATTTGAATGGAGCTGATTCAAATTTAAAACCACCAGGTGCTATAGTTAAAATAAATCCAAAATCAATATGTATTATATGACCTTGGTTATCAATTAGAATGTTTCCATTGTGTCTATCTTTAATTTAGAATAGATATTAGAGTAAACTATAGGAAGTTAAACTTAAGATAAAATTGAGTTAAGCTTCTTCAAAATTATCTCCAAATATACTATTATAAATTTCTTTAAGAGTCATGGATGGCATAGATTTTTTAAGTTAATCCATAGACATAGTATCATTACAGAATTCTAAAATTCCTGAGTCAACTGAAGTAATAATTATATCATAAGATTTGACATATAGTCCAACTTAGGTTAAAATCTAAAAGTATAATTTTTATATTATTACATCTTCTGAAACTTTAATAATTTGCATCATCATTTATTCTTGTCTCAAATCATCACCTCCTTTTATTAATAAACTTCTCAAATTATAGGATTTGAACTATCCATAAGGAGAATTAGATTAGATGATTTATCTTTTATCCTCCCATTATTCACTAAATGGACCGTTTTTTAAATCATTTTATGATGGAGATTACAATTATTATATTTCTTATTGTTGAATAATGATTTTGGAATCGTTTAATTATTTTTAAATCTTCTCAATTGTTCCTTTTTTATTTGGATATTCTAATTAATATAAATAATAAAAATACCATTAGCAATTTAATCAAGAAATGTAATATTATCTAATTCTTTATCACTATGTTTTAATTTATCTTCTTATTTAAATAAATCTTTAAAATCTTTCTCATATAATTATTTATTAGTATATGATTAGATTTGATCAATACAACTTCTTCTACGTATAATTAATTCTTTTTTAAGAGGTGGAAATTGTTAATCAAATCTCTTTTTATTTTAATTAATAATTTATTACCTAGCTAACTAAATAAAAAAACCTATATCAATACCTTATCTTTATTTTCCTATAAGAAATCTTCAAATACAGTATAATCAAATTAATGCATAACATCAAATTCTAGAAAAGCTTAAGAATCTATTGATAATTGTTTTTATAGAGTGACAAGTTATTGTTCACGTTCTTCATACTCATCCATATCAACTGTTTCAACCACTAATTTATATGGTACTCTTTTTTTAGTATTAAATGATTATGCTTCTGTATCAATAATGCGAACAACCATTTATGATCTACCTTTAAAAGGTAAGATAATTCCTTTGCAGTATTTAATGCCTGGATTATTACGACGAAAACTTTCCAAAGCTCTATTACCTTTAATTAGATTTCTTCTCAAATATAGTTATCTTTCATTCAAAGGTACATTCTTAAGATGTAATGATAAGACAGTCAAACAAGTCACAAATCTTTAAATGGAATTCACATAATTTGATCTACTCTCTTTTTCTTGAAATTGATTCTCTGAAATTTGATTTACCATTGCTTCTTCTATTTTTTAATCAAATACAGCCACACTATTTTCAGCTTTTTGTCTCTCTTTATAAGTATAAGCTTCATAAGACCATTTGATCTAGTAATGAGAAATTTGAATATACTATCTCATAAAATGCTATATGTTCTGCACACATCTTCAATAAATACTCACCAAGTTGGGGCCATCTCTTTCTCGTGAATAGATAGCTAACTAAATGAAATCAAATCAATACACCAATCCTGATAAGTATTTACTAGTTTCATCATAATTTAATTAATTCAGTCTTTCTAAAAACTCCATCAAAGTTGATTCTTAAACATCCTTACATATAATCTTCCTAAAGGATTCATCTATGCTTATCTAATTACTTTAATTCATTAATTTATTCTTATATAATTAAATGCTCTTATTTTTTATAGCACTTGTTCGATCTCAATCTGCCTCTTCAGCTGGAATGAATGAAGTACATATTTTTTGTTTTAGGACTCCAAAATCACATATGAAACATACTATGCATAATTATTACCATATTACATTGTAGATATGTCATTCCCAGAATATTTCCAAATTTCAATGAAGATAAGTGGATGTGAAACCTGTGATTCTCCTTTCATTGAAGGAGGACCTGATATGATCATTGAACTTAATTATTCTCTTTTTATTGTAAAATGTGATTAGATATGGGAATTGCATGGAATCTGTGGAACCTACTTAGAAGTTCACAAGTAAGTGATATTAATGATATTCACAAGACCATTAAATAAAGATATTATATATGAATAATAGATAAAAGGTAAAGGAACCCTAAAAACATAAATGTTAACTAAATCATTATAAAGTGGACGCTATGAAATTTGGGTTGTTGTTCGTAGTAAAATTGGATCTGTCATTTAATATGTGAAATCATTTTATATAACTATTGTCAATTAGTGAAATATTTTATTTACATAGTTATTAGTAATTCATAAATATATAGTGAACATAAAAATATATGAGTTAATCAATAAGTGATATTAATATTATGTAAAATATGATAAAATATTCATTTTCAGATCTGTGACTATGGAAATACATCAGGATACTAGAGAAGAATAGATTATATATAAATACCTATCCAGGTCTATAAGATGCTGCATTAGATCGAACTCCTGATTTGGACAGTTCGTTCTACTTTTTCTTTAATGAATCTAATTCTGCAGTAGCAACAACCAATTCTTCTTAGACTTAATGATATTCTCTGTTTAATTCTTAGAATTTATTCTTCCAAATTGAAACATCATTTGTAAGTTTTGTAACTTCTTCATAACTTGTATTGTTATTTTAATATTCATATTCTAGATCTTGATACATTTTATCTAATTCATTATATTTAGATTTCCAATCTTCAATTTCAATATTTAATTATTGAATTTAACTTCTAAGTCTATCAATTTATTCTTTGTCTTCATTATTAGATTAAAAAGATTGTTTAAAACTCATTTAATTGGCTTTAAGAGAATCATTTTCTTATTTCATTTATAAAATCTTATTGTCTAATTCTGTAATCTTACTATTTAAATATTTAATAGTTAATTCTTATTATTAAATTTATGATCTTAAACGATTAGTTTCATCATTCTTTTATCTCAATTCATTCTATAATCTCTCAATTTCAAGTTATAAATTCTATAATTTACCATCATTTTCAAATTAAGAATTTAATTTAAGTGATTCAATTTCTCTATTTCGATTATCAACCATTTCTTTTAATCTCCTAATTTCAACTTCATATTAAGCAGAATCTCTTAATTATGCTTCAAGTCTTTGATATTTTAATTTCCATTCTTCAGTTTCTGCCCTTTAACTGTTAATTGAGAATTAAGCTCTATCAATTTCTTATCTTAATTAAGAGAGAGTAGCTTCATATTCCTTAAGTGACAATTGATGTCTACTATCAACCATAGATAATTCTAGAATACGATATCTTTTAGAGATTTCTTCGTTTTAATCTCTTAGTCTAACAATTTCAGCATTTAACATGGCTTCATTCTCTATCATAATCGCTCTCATTTTATCAATATCTATTTCTGCTTATTATCTTGCTTATTTATCAGTTGCCATATATAATTTATGTTTATATTGATCTAATTCTAAAGACATATCCAACAAACACTTATTTAATCTATCAATTTCTAGATACAATTAATTTATCTATANAATATGTGAAATCATTTTATATAACTATTGTCAATTAGTGAAATATTTTATTTACATAGTTATTAGTAATTCATAAATATATAGTGAACATAAAAATATATGAGTTAATCAATAAGTGATATTAATATTATGTAAAATATGATAAAATATTCATTTTCAGATCTGTGACTATGGAAATACATCAGGATACTAGAGAAGAATAGATTATATATAAATACCTATCCAGGTCTATAAGATGCTGCATTAGATCGAACTCCTGATTTGGACAGTTCGTTCTACTTTTTCTTTAATGAATCTAATTCTGCAGTAGCAACAACCAATTCTTCTTAGACTTAATGATATTCTCTGTTTAATTCTTAGAATTTATTCTTCCAAATTGAAACATCATTTGTAAGTTTTGTAACTTCTTCATAACTTGTATTGTTATTTTAATATTCATATTCTAGATCTTGATACATTTTATCTAATTCATTATATTTAGATTTCCAATCTTCAATTTCAATATTTAATTATTGAATTTAACTTCTAAGTCTATCAATTTATTCTTTGTCTTCATTATTAGATTAAAAAGATTGTTTAAAACTCATTTAATTGGCTTTAAGAGAATCATTTTCTTATTTCATTTATAAAATCTTATTGTCTAATTCTGTAATCTTACTATTTAAATATTTAATAGTTAATTCTTATTATTAAATTTATGATCTTAAACGATTAGTTTCATCATTCTTTTATCTCAATTCATTCTATAATCTCTCAATTTCAAGTTATAAATTCTATAATTTACCATCATTTTCAAATTAAGAATTTAATTTAAGTGATTCAATTTCTCTATTTCGATTATCAACCATTTCTTTTAATCTCCTAATTTCAACTTCATATTAAGCAGAATCTCTTAATTATGCTTCAAGTCTTTGATATTTTAATTTCCATTCTTCAGTTTCTGCCCTTTAACTGTTAATTGAGAATTAAGCTCTATCAATTTCTTATCTTAATTAAGAGAGAGTAGCTTCATATTCCTTAAGTGACAATTGATGTCTACTATCAACCATAGATAATTCTAGAATACGATATCTTTTAGAGATTTCTTCGTTTTAATCTCTTAGTCTAACAATTTCAGCATTTAACATGGCTTCATTCTCTATCATAATCGCTCTCATTTTATCAATATCTATTTCTGCTTATTATCTTGCTTATTTATCAGTTGCCATATATAATTTATGTTTATATTGATCTAATTCTAAAGACATATCCAACAAACACTTATTTAATCTATCAATTTCTAGATACAATTAATTTATCTATAATGATTTGAATTCTTATACCTTTAAAGTATCTTCAACATAAGTGATTTTTTCAGTAGCACCAATTCCTCTTAATCTCATCACTTCTGTTTGACATTCTGTTAATGCTTACTCTAATTATGAGCATTTAGCTTTCCAAACACTCTCAATTTCATCTCGAGTAACTACTGTAATTGGTGCTTCTCGATGATACATTTCTCTAACATGTGGATGAGTAACTGTGTGACTTTATGCATTGTCGTTCGGTTTGTAGGATTACTTAATATTTAATAAATGGAATACATAGGGTGGTCTTACTGATTGTTATGGTTAAGAATAGCCATATGCTTATCCATATTGTTATGAAGCAGGACTATATTTCATTACGTACTGTTAAATAATTAATATAACAGAAATTCATCTGATAATGTTTATATTGACTTAAAATCCAAATCCTTTTCAATGATATGTACTTTTAAAGACTCTAAGAATTTCTTTTTCTCATTTACTTTCTTTAAAACTTATAGTAATAAATATATATTATTTTATAGTCTTCTATTTTTTCAATTATTGAATTATATATTAATATAATTATGAATTTTATCATAAATGAACATTCCCAATCAGATTGCTCTTAGATTAAAGTTTTATGCCAGGACCAAAAATTTATGAGATTATTTCTCATACAATTATGTAAGTGATAATGGTTAATTTATACATTCTTAGCTATCTTTCAATATGATTTTATCACCAGAGAAATCCTCTTTATTATAAAGTTTAACTGAATATCCTTTAGGAATTTAAATGGATTTAATATCATGGTCAAAATTACTATATTTATTAATATCAATACTCGATATTTCTTTAAGATTCACATAATTGAAGTTATTCTCCTTTAAAATGACATTATGAATAGATTACTATACAATCAGAATTTAAAACATTCTATTCAGTTTCAGCTATTATTAAATAAAACTATATTACAGTTTTTGTTAATTTCTTACTAAGTAAGAGTTTAAGTACTTTAAGTATCTATCATATCTATTTAAGGTATATCATTCACACCCTCTTTATTACAAGATTATATACTTAGAGTTAATTTTCATTGTTTGATAATGAAGTCATTTCTTAAGTAGGAATGATAATACTCTAATGGTCTAAAATAAAATTATTTGGATCTTCATTAGATTTATTGTTTTCATTGTTTTAGGTTACTCCTGTATTGGAAGAGATGAAATTGCCGTCGAAATCATAATATCCCTATTCTGATAATGTTTAATCAACATTTCTTTGATTTCCATCAAAATTAACAATTGAAGGTATAGGATTGGTTTCAATCTCACTGAATTCCACATTTGTTTAAGCCAACACTAAGGCTGGAATAAGAATAATTCTAAACATTAAAGCCTTTATTGGCATGGTAAAACGGATTAATTAATATTATATAATGTTTCTCATATAAGCTCAATCTCAATTATATTATCTTTATCATTAAACACCAATACACCAGGAAATATTGTTTAACTTTATTCGAACATCAATCCAACCAAGGCACATATCACATTTCCAACTTTTTATTTAGTAGTAGGTATTATTTTAACTTTCAAATAACTTTGATGATTTATAATGTTCATAGTTATTGTAAATATATTCCTATCTCTTATTTTAGTAATTTATGTAACTTATACATTTTGATAATTAAGTTTATCACTAGATAACAAATAAAAAGAATTATTATGATAGAAAGAGAAATCAAATTAAGAATTTGGATATTTTACAATATTCTATTAAGTTTCAATTATTTTTGATTCTGAAAAATACAATTCTTTAACAAATCCAACACCTTTCTCTTATATATTGTTACTCACAAATAACATTGACATATCATTAATAACAGCAAACTAAGAATTTTCATTTAATTATGGAATTCTTATTTTTTCATCCATAACAACATTCTGATTATTTTAATTATTCAAAATTATTGAACCTATATCTAATATAAATAATAATAATTAATAAATACTTCCAATCATTAATGTATAATTTTTAAATTATAATAATATTGATTCTCCTAATAATGTATAATTAGACATTATAGTAACATAAAATATTGGTTCATTCTAATTATCTTAAATAATTTGATCAAAATCTCCTCTATATAATTAATACAATTTATCATATTAAACAACTAAATAAATAATATTATCAATCAAACAGACTTACCTTACATTCATTTGTACAGATTTTAAATCACTAAATTTAATTAAATTATTTTTATTTGTATTATCACATATCTCTAATTCTATCTTTATTTTTAATCCATGATAAAATAGAATTAATTTAAAATTTATTACTCCTATTAAAGTAGGTTATATTTTCTAACTACATTTACGATATATTTGAAATATTTCCTTATTTCTCTAATTTAGAAATATATATTACTTAAACATTCAAATTTTCTATAAATTACAAATTTAACTCATTTTAAATATCATCACTATTAACTAATTTACAATTAAATTTTTATTGCAATTCAAATTATTCTTAATTCTTACTAAATATAGAATCAAAATAACTTAATTTCTATGTCTAAAATATCTTTTGATCTTTCATGTTAATAACAAATTAATTTTATTATTTCTCAAATTCCTCAGAAAAATACTCTATATCTATTTTAAGTTAACCCTTTAAATGACAGACAGGACATTAAACTTATTTTGATTCATCTTTCTATAATTCAGTTTATATTGATTAATCCAATTCAAAATAATTAAATTGACAACCCTTATTTACATGATAGTAAGGGAATGTAAGAGCATTTAATGTTAATTGAGAGAATGTGAGTATAATTCTATAATCCTATTTCTTCATTAAGGTAGCAATAAAAAATTAATTATAATCATTATAAAATTATGTTAATTCCAAAATCATCTTAAATTTATTCAATTATATTCTTTGTGATGAATTTTTTATTTTCTCATCTCCTAGACTCCTTAATAAATAAATATCATCTTTAAATATCAAGTAGAATTTTTAATTTACTCATTATATATAGATTAGCATTTTATGAAATTATTATCTAAGAATAAGAAAAGCAAACAACAAATAATTGATGATTAGAAATACTCTATTAAATTCAGGTTGTATTCCACCGAAAAGATAACTATATTCTACTTTTTATTTAATTTTTCTTAATTATTTATATAAAATAATCATACTACATATAGTTTTGATTATTAAATATTATCTTAAGTTTAATTGATAATAAAAATTAAATAGAGAATCTTAAATGATCTATAATTAAAAAAAAAAATGTAAAATAATTCAAAGAGTTTAATTGTGCCCTTATTTTAGTGTAATTAATTCTTGTTATAATTTAGCAATATATTATAGAAGAATTCTTTCTCTACTATCGTATGAATCTAAAATGAGTTTCATTTTATTATAAATAGCCTAAAATTATACTATCTAATTTTAGTGTTTCTTTTTTTTAATTTGATTTTGGGAATCTTCTAATTCTGAATAATCAATAGATCTAGTAATATATTTTGGATCAATAAATTTTCTATAGAATTTTGATGATTGTAAATTTGATGGTTTTTAAGACTTAGAAAGTCTTGGTTTACAATTAAAAAAAGTATCAATACTCTTTGGTCTAGTTGTAAAATTGAAAAGGATACTAGAGTGAAATCATAGCAGACATTTGAATTTTCTTTGCTGTACTATTATGAGATCGAGGTTTCACTATAGGTACCATTTCAGAATCAATAGTTTTTGACATGCAATCAGATATTGTAGCATATCTCTACCTTACTTTGAATCTAATATCTTCATTGTAGTTCTTCAATTTCATTTTCTGTCTTTATAATTAATTTTGTATAAAACAGAAAATTATTAATTAAGAAATACACTTAATTTAATAATCTAATAATCAATATTAAGTATATATTACTTCTATAAATCTTATTAGTATAGATTTAGTATTTATATTTGTTGTAATATTTTTATGAGTCTTTTATTATAAATATTATATAATAATTTTTAATGTCAACTTCTTAATTAGTTAAATAAAATTAATTAAGAAATTTATACTATATTAAGCACGATATTAATTAACTTATTTGATAAATTAGATGAATACTATAGAATTGAGTATTAATGAATATCTTGATCAAATAGATATTTAAATTACTGATCCAACACTAAAATAACAAGTTTATTTTGAAAGTATCAAACACAATTTACATCAAAATAAAAATAATTGTCTAATTTCTCCTTTCATTTTAAGAGATGTTGGAAATAGATTGATTACATAAATTCATCATAAAACTCATGAACATATTAACTTTTAGAATCATGATAATAATAGAATTAACCATAACTACTAAAGACAAGAAGTTTGATTAAAACACACTATTTTGTATTATTTATTTTATATGAATCAAAATGATAATTATATTCCATTATCTTACAATGATCACAATCATCCTCTTTAGAAATGGCGTTTACATAGTAACTCTATGCATAGTTAACCTCTTATTAAAATTGATTTTGATCATAAACCAAAAATGGTATATTAATTACCAGATGTTTTCATGACAAGTAGATAAAATTAATTAAAAGTAATTTAAACATACATATATAGTAATCCTATTTAGAAATTCCTAAAAAAAGCAGAAAAACAAGTAAAGTAAGTTTGAACAGTTTAGAGGTTTCTCCAAAAATTCCAAAATTGAATAATAGTAAAGATTAAAAATACAAAGAACTTTCTGAATTACATAAGAGTTATTCTTAATTTAAGTAATTACTATAATCATAATTTAAAATAGAAAATCACTTAATCAAGTTAAGAAATAACATTTAATTGTTGATAATAATTGTGAAATCAATACAATTAATCCCAACTCATCCTTCTATTTAAATGGTGTCAAATTACCTTACAGTTTGTACGTTATCAATAAGAATCGTTAAATGGCCATTACTAATTTAATGAATCATGCAAATCCACATGCTCATGAGTAATCGTAATAGTAGATCTAAATGATTGACAACTAAATAAAAAAAGTTCGTAATATTGGCCCTTATTTCAGGGATCGAAAATTAGAGTAAATAAAAAATGAAGGAATACAGAAGTCGATCTTATTTACAAAATGCATATTATTCAATGTTATGTGTGAACTCTGATTCCAAGAAGAGATTAAAGAAGATTATACATCGATAATTCCCTTAAGAGTCTCGTTTCTAGCAGTTATGAAGAATAATTATAATTATATATATATATATATATATAAATATTTGTTAATTTTATGATTACTACACCTAATGTTATTGACTCTAAATTTTATGAGTTATAAAATAGTTGTCATGCATTTAAATCAGAAAATGAAGAATTCAAATAAATTTTATTAAGATTATGGATATAGATCTCGAAATCTTTTAATGAAGACTTTGAAGAAATCTTATAATTGGGTATCAATTCAGATATCTAAGATGTTATGAATGCTATACTTATTATTGAGGAGGCAAGATTAGAGTAAATTAAAGTATAAAAATATATTATATTTTAAGAGTGATAGATAATAGATTTAATTACTTGAAGATGAATTAAAAGCTATTAAATAATCAAATACTACTAATACTAAAAATGAAGAATTAATTGAAACATAAAAATAATATAGAGAATTAAGTGAACTAGTTATTTAATTAAAATTATCAAATGAAGATAAAGATCATTAAATTTTAGAATAAACTAAATTAAACAAAAAACTATAAGATGAATATAATCTATTAACATCTAAAATTAATAATTTATCATTAGCATTAGTTTAATCAAAAGAAGAAAAAATCTAATATATGGAACAATCTTAAAAAGAAATTAAATTATTAATGGAAAAAGAATTATAGCAAAGCAAAATGATTTAAATTTTGTAGATATAGAAAATTGAATTAGAGAATATGATAAAAAAGACTAGTCAAAGAAATTCAGTTGAATCATCAAATCATTAAAATTCTCAAATTTTTAAAGATGATGAATAAACTAGAATACTAAGTTGTTCACCAAGTAATATTTCAAATTATTATAAGGAACCACTCATATTGATATATCAAAAATTGTTTTATAAAATCTCTAAAACAAAAAAGCTGAAATGGTTTCAGGATAGTCACTTTCATAAATTCCATATAAATTTGGAAAATGATAATAAATTATAATTGTTAAATATGGATATTTTTCAATCGACTTCTTTTTCAAATGAAATTTTTATCTTAATTAAAAAATAAATCCAGTATGTTATTTTAAACAATTTAATATTTTTATTACATTAAAGTTCTTATTATTTATTTATATAGAGAATCAAAAAAATTTATTCATTCCAATCTTATATGGTTATAATTAAATTCTTTATTTTTATTAATTATCCAAATTTACAACATCTTAATCTTTTTTCATAGGTTTTCTTTTTTTAGCACCTTTTTTTCCTTTGTTATCTTTCCTTTCCTCCTCTTCTTCCTCCTCTTATTAATCTTAATCAAATAAACTTGCTTATGTTTAACCATATCTAGGAAAGGTGTCATCTTCTTCTATTAAAAATGAACCTAATTAACTATTTTCTTATTATTTAGATTATTAAATCTATTTAGATGGCATTATTTATAAACTATTATTATTTAATTTATTATTTTAATTAATACTAGCTCTAGATGATTCAATACTAAAATCTTCTTAAAATTTTATAAATATTTAGCTTATATCATTAGCAAAATCAGGACAATAAAGTGATTCTTATTTTGTTTTACCTTCAAAATTTTTTATAATTGCATCACGTATTAAAAATATAATTGATTCTTAATGTTCTCTCTACTTTTTTACAATTTATAATATTCTATTATTATATTAAGGAATTATTTTTTCTTTAAACTTTTCTATAGTCTTTGGATATAAATCATTAAATAAATTTGACTTTTCCTTATTAGTTGATGATAAAAAGTTATCTAAAATATTTAAGAAATCTTCTTATTCAATAATTTAGAAATTTTATTGATATAACTTTTGAGATAACTAAAATAGAATATAAATATATACCATATTAGTGAAATCATTCATCATAGTTTGATTTTGAGAATTAATATCTACTTTATTTCTTAATATATTATCAAATTATTGATTAAGTAATTATGCTTATTCTTTTCTTTTTTGTATTTATGCTTGTAGATTTGATTTTTTCTCCCAAAATTTAAATATTTAATCTGGATTTGAGACTCTATCTGCAAATTTAGTTTCAATATATCTCATCCTCATTAATTCAAATCCAGAATACTCTACTTTAATTCTAAGTAATGGTTTTTTCTATCTATATTAACTAGTTTAATAATAATTAATTAATTCTTTTTCTACAAAATCAAATAATAATTTTTCAGCTAATTCTTAATTACTAATCTTTAAATTATTATCATTTATTTTGATTAATTCATTTAATTCAATATTTTTATAAATCATAGGTCTATAACTTTTTTCTAATTTAATGCTTTCAAATTTCATTTAATTCTATGTAAGTGTAAATAAACCTGCTTATTTAATTAGTGATTCATATTCTATAATAGATGTTGCTACAGTACTACCAGGATAAAACACTTAAAAATGTTCACATGTATCTAAAGTATAAATACTATAATAATTAAAATGAATATATACGCTTCATGTTCATGACCCCAAATTAATAGATCAATTTTATAATTTTTAAAATAAATTGGATCAATAAAGTTCTTTTCATCTTGAAAATGATTACCTTTATATTTATTTTAATGAATAATTAGTATATTGAAATTATTTTCATTTAATGATTCCAAAACTAATTTACCATCATTAATGATTTTATGTAATTAATAATCTTTCATGTAACCTAAACCATATAGTGCAATCTTTTAATTATTTTTAACAAGAACAATTGGTTTAATACAAACATTAGATTAATCAGTTATTTTTCCTATATAATTTAAATATTTAGATTCATGTAATATATCTAAAATTGATACACTTTCATTTCTTTCTGTAACAATATCATCATGATTACCATTTATTATAAAAATTGGTAATTATACATTAAAATTAGAACAACTAAAATTAGGCTAATAATTAAGTGAATTAAGTTCCATTTGAATTCCTCCAAAATTATCTCCAAATACATGTCTTTAAAGTATATCAACACATTTCAATAAACAATGTTCTGTTGGATGTTTCTCATGAAATAAATCTCTTAAAATTTAAATAATGTTATTTACCCTCCTAAAATAACAAAATCAACATTTTATTATGTTGCTATTTAAAGGACTTCCTCAAATGCTTCAAAAGCATCTTAATATCTATTTGATTTTGGTCCCACATTTTCATTAGCTCCAAGATGATTGTCAGAAGCAACTAAAAACTTAGATATAAATTTAAAAGTTAAATACTTTAATGAATTGATTTCTATTAATTTACATAAAATAATATTAAAATTCTTTTTAGAATTGATAATAAAATACATAAGTATCTTTAAATCACAGTAAATTGTTACTTTTTAAATAAATAAACTTTTTATATTGATCATTTTCTTATTTATAAGATGAAATATTTCTAAATATAATATATATAAAGAATAATACCCAAAATTAATGATATTTTCATTTCCTTTATTTATTTATTTAGATTAATCTATAATTAATTGTTATTTAATAATTTGGATGGATTCTTCATTTCTTCTTGTAATTTATTCCAATTATTCAAGTTTTTGGAGAGATTAATAACCATACTAAAATCTTGGATTTATAAAATACATCTTATTATATTTTACTTTCAGTCATAAAATCACAAAGTTGATTTTGTATATTTCTATTGAATTAATCTAATTAATCTTATCTCATTTTGATATTGTTTATATCATTCTAAATTTAATTCATTTGTATTTCTATTCTTCTATAAGATTCTTATTATTCTATACTTAATTTCTTTTTACAATCAACTTTAAGTATAGTATTGAATAATTAGTTTGATAATTAAATTTTAGATTTCTATTATTGATCAGATTTATGTTTATGATTATTAAATTCTTCTTTATTCTTATCTGGTGTTAAACTAGAACTATCATTTTTATTATTTGATTATATTTGTTTCTTTTGTAATTCATTGGTGAAACTTAGATATTTATTTTTATCCTATCTTTCACTATTTAAAGTTTTTTAAGTAATTTCTTTTATTGGATGATTACCTTTAATCATATATTAGATATGTGAAATAAGATTAGAAGATGATCCTTAGTTTTTAAGGTTTTCCTTTTATTCTTAAGAGTGATTATTTTTATTATTATGTTCAATGAATTAATTCTTTTTGACTGATTACATTGATTATTCAGTTGATGATGCTATATCTGTCTATTCAGGTATTTAGAAAAGTACATTGCCAATGCTTTAATTCTTTTACATTATTTTGTTTATATTATTTTCTTCAAGTAATCCTGAAATTTTGTAATTTATAATTTGTTAGAAATCATTATTAGATAATGCTCTTCTATGATTATTCTTTGGCTTATTCATTCAAATTCAAAATAAATAATAATCAATTATATAGATTAAAATTATGTTTGGATATAAACTCTTCACAATAGTAAGAGAAAAATCTGTTGTTATAGTAGAACAATTAGGTAAATATCACAGAACTTTACAACCTGGATTAAATTTCCTCATTCCACTTATTGATAGAGCAGCATACACCTAATCTTTAAAAGAAGAAATCTTACCTATTGAAAAATAATAAGTTATAACTAAAGATAATGTAGCTATTCATCTTGATGGTATTGCATTCATTCGTATTATTGATCCATTTAAAGCATCTTATTAAGTATATACTATATTTATTTAAATAGGTAAGTGAACCATAAAATGCTATTAAATTGTTGTGTCAAACAATTCTAAGATCAGAAATTGGTAAATTGAAATTAGATTAACTTCTATAAGAAAGATCTGCATTGAATCGTGCTTTATAAAGTGGTCTAAGTAGAGCTGCAGCAGAGTGGGGTTACACTAGTTTGGGAGTTGAAATATTATAAATTGATATACCTGAAGAAATTAGAGTATCTATGTAAGCTTAAGTTGTGGCTGAAAGAAATAAGAGAAGAGAAATTTTAGAAAGTGAAGGCAAATAAATTAGTGAAATTAATATTGCTACAGGTGCCAAAACTGCTTCAATTAAAATTGCAGAAGGAGATGCTGAAGCTGTTAGACTTGTTTCATAAAATGAAGCTAAAGCCTTAAATTAAATAGGTGAAGCTCTATAAGAATAATCAAAAAAAAGAGTTTTGGATTATATTCTTTTATAACATTATTTAAAAGGATACTCAAGCATTTTGAAAACATCAAAAGTTGTTGTTGTTCCTAAAGCAAAAGAGGGATAAGGAAATGATTTTATGAGTTTAGCTGCAATGATGATGTTTAATAATTAAAATACTTCAGGTTAGAAAATATTTGAAGTTACTTCAAAACCTAATGACACAACTCACAACTCAACAACATCCTAATAAGAAATTAGTAAATTGACTTAAGATTAATTGGATAATCTTATAAAGAAGAATGTCTTTTATAATGACCCACGGTATTTATTTAAAATATTCTTAGATTATATTCTGATGATGAAGAAAAAAGAACACATTGATAATTTATAATCATACAAAATAAATTTATAAATATTTTTAACAAACATAAAACTTTTAATTTCAAATTTTGATGCGATATTCATCATCATAAATTATGAACAATTCTTAAATAAGAACAGAATCTCCTTCTTTTTAAAAAATGTAAGCACTTGCAGATAGATGGAACTCACTAAAAACAGGAATTGATAAGGGTAGATTCGAAAAAAAAGAAATTATTGAGACATCAATTTAAAAAATAGATAATTTATTAAGTTATGATAAATTGAATGATGATGAAAAATTCAAAGTAAATTCTATATTTTTATTATAGACAATTAAAGAATAATTATTTAAAATAACAGAATAGATTAATAATGAGAAATTTGGAAAGGAACATTATTAACGATATTAAGAATAATTACATCTTTTTGAAGAGTAGATTAATAAATAAATGGATGAAGAAAAAAATGTATTTGAATTGCATGAAATTAGAATAAACGAAGAGTAGAAATATAATTATTAAAATAAATTGAAGATAGATTTGAAACAGTTTAAAGTATGTTAGAGAAAAACAATTCTATTTATTATGATAAATTAAATAGATAAATTGGAGATATTGCAAATTAATTAAATAATTTAAGATTCACAATTGAAAATGAATAATAAAATAGGTTAATATATATATATAAATGTATTTTAGAGCAGAATCTTAGACACATTTAATTGAGTAAATGGATTAGGAACTTAATAAATTCTAAGAAATGATGACAATTGAAAAATCAGTTAGAGAAGAAACAGAAAAGAAAATATTTTCAATGATAGAAGATGTGCATTAAAAAATATAAAATGAAATTATTAATGAAAGAATCTCTAAAGAAAGATCATAAGAAAGTATTTTAAGATTGTTAGAATCAACTTGCTTAAAAATTGATGAAAGTTTTAATTCTTGATTTCAACAATATAACTAAATTCTTATTGTTAATTATAAATAATTTTATAGAATGTTATCTAATTATAATGATAGAATTCAGCAATTAGATATTTATATATATTTTAATTGATTTTTTAATATATTAAAATTATTAAATGATTCAATCAGATAAACTAAATATAGATGAAAAAACTTTATTACAAACAATAGATAGAATCTCTGCATAATTAGATTATTTTGAGTAAAAATTGCAGTCAAATTTACAGGTATTACTTCTAGTTGGTAATACAGGATCAGGAAAGAGTACAATTTTCAATTTTCTTTGTGGAGCTAAATTCAAATATGTAGTTACTGATGATGAGGAGTATTTAGATTTAGCTGAGAATTCTGATTTATATTCAGAAATGAATAGTGGAATGAAATCAGTTACTAGAGAGCCTAAATACTATTATCATGAAACCATTAATCATTTATTAATTGACTTTCCAGGATTTCATGATACAAATGGAGAAATAGATTAGTTAATTATTTAGATGATTTTCTATAAATTTATTACAAGATCTAATGTAAAAATAGCATATGTTATCACTCATCCCCAAGTTAATTTTTTTGAGAGAGGTCATGCATTATAATCATTTATTAATAGTGTTTTTAAAGAAAAAAATGTTGATATCTCTAAACTTGCATTAATTTTAAACCATTATAATGGTAATTTAAAAGAAGAGAAATTAATTATTAATGTTTAAAAATAATTAAAAGATATAGAAGTAGCTAAGCATGAATGGATCTCTGTTATTAGAAGAATTGATAGTTAAGAAAAATTAGATGAAGTTTTCTCAGTTGATAATAGAGAAAAATTGTGGTGTGAATTGATTACTGTTAATGAGATTTAATTTTAACCTTAATTTTTACCATATAGTGATAGAATTAGTACTTATATTACAGAAAAAAGTAGTTTAATATTAAATTAAATTTGTTAATAAATGGATTATAATCTATCAATAAAATCAAAGGAATTAAATGATGAGTAATTCACTTTATTGCAAAGTCTAATAAATTCTATATCATATATACTTTCATAAACACCTGAACATATAGAAGATTGGTTTAATAAATTTATTAATGTTTCATTAGAATTATCTTCAACTTTCCATTTTGAAAATGATATAAGTGAAAAAAGTATAAATTTCCTTAAAATTTTTAATTTCTTTTCATTTTTCTCTGAATTCATTTATGGATATTCAGCTTTTGAAAAACATTGTATATAAGTGCAATAAAAATGTACTTATTTCTTAGAAAATTTATAAAAAAAGATTGAATTACAAAGAGCTTTTGAAGAAAGGAATAGAGAATAATAAAATAGAATTAAAGCAGAATAATAATTTACAACAGAATCATAAATAAGAATATAAAAAGAATAATTGTATGCATAAGAATATGAAAATAGAATTAAGTATGAATAATAATTAAAAATGGAATAATAATTAAGAACTGTTTTAGAATAAGACAAAAAAGGAATGGAATAATAATATAAAGAATATTGTGAAAAGTCTCTTTAAATATAATCTAATTTATAAAATTTAATTTAAACAGAAAAAATTTAAAAATAATAAGTAGAATAAGATCTTAAAAGATAATTGTAAGAATTATAAAATAAATTAAATGAAATGGAATAAAGAAGAAAAGAATGGCTAGAACATAGAGCTAAGGGACCTCATTTTGGACATCATGGACATCATGGTCCTGGACCTCATGGACCAGGACACCATCCATGGTTTAAAAAATGAAATTTAATTATATTCAATGTTTTTAATTAAACATTTCAATTTTATATCATTTATTCATTCAATTTTTTATATAAATTTTATAAATATAATAATAAATCAATTAATATTTTATTTTTATTAAAATTAGAGGCTGAAATCTTTTTGAAAAAATAGATATAATCAACTTTTTCATTCAAATTAGATGTAATAAGTTAATTAATATATAAATATAGATTTTTTAGCGACACTATTTTTGAGTTCTTTTAAAAAAAATTAATTTTTGTGTA